GGAGGCGGGGAGAGGGCGGGGAAGGAGCGGTGATTCCCCGCCCTAATCGCAGGTGCAGGGTGCCCGTCGGAGGGCAGCGGGGCGGACGAGGGCCGGACCCGAGTGCGCGACCCGTGCCCCACGCTGCAGGGTTCATCGCCCGCGCTTCTCGGCACGCGGCAGCCCTCCGGGACCCGCCTCCCTTTCAGTCACCGCACAGAGAGCGACGCCAGCGCTGTCTGGTGCGCGCAGGATCCCGCCACCATGACCGGATTTTCTGTGTAAGGCTCGTGGAGTTGGCCTGCAGCAGGTCCAGCCCTGCGGGCCCGCCTCTCCCCAGCTCCATAGTCCTCCCAGGAAAAGCAACACCTCCCTGCTAGGTTGTTGGAGATACTCCTTGCGAAGGCTTAGTGCGCCATCTAAAATATTGCTTTTAAAAATTTTTTTAAAGACAAGGGGTACTGACTTGCAAGTTAAGCCGTAGAGGATAGAGAGTTAACTTTTAAATAAATGTTATTTTTTTTATTATTTTTTAATTTAGCCTAACTGGAGTCCATTGCAAGCGATACCTAAAGGATAGAAAGGGATGGAGGTTGGGGAAACGCTGAGCTGAGATGTTGATCTAAGAAAGGAGTCTACGAATTTCCAGGGTCTGAGATTTCCATGAGTTGGAATTGACTCAAGGGCAGTGAGTTTTGTTTTGTTTGGGTTGGGATTAAACCGGAACCTGGAGCCAAGGGGCGGGGGCTTCCTCCACCCTTAGCTGGCACCGGCTTTTCCGGAGCCCTCCAGAGTGGGCGCTGTTTCCTAGGCGGAGAAGACGCCCGGAGTGGCCCTGCGCCACTGAGACAGGCGCAGCCTCCTCGCACGCGCCCCACAGCAAGCTCGCTTATCTTAAAAGCAAACATACATGCCCGGTGATCCAGCGGTGCCCCTTATGGGATTCCCTATCTCCACCGCCCCTTCCCCCGTCCCCTGAGATACACTTGCACCCATGCCTCAGGTCGTACTGCAACTGTGTTCCCTGAGGATTGGATCCGAATGCCTCTCCATAGAGGGAGGAAGTGGCCCAGCCACGCTACTGAAATACTCGGCCACCAGTTAGAGCAAGACATTCCCTCAGCTTCCATATATCTCAACTGAAAAACAGAAGAACAAGAGGGCACATGACGTGTGAGAAAACATGCAACAGTCTCTAAGTTATGCGACCATTTACTCAGCTGATTTACTCACAGAATCTAGAAGGTTCCCAGGAACGGGGGCGGTGCGTCTTCAGAATGTTGTGACATGTGGATAAAATCCATACATCCTTTACCATCATGCCATTAAAGGAGTCCTGGACGCCCAATTGGTTATGCATTGGGTTGCTCACCACAGGGTCAAGAGTTTGAACCCACCAGCGGGCTCCCTGGTTGAAAGTTGAAACTGCTCCTGTAAAGATTTGCAGCCTCGGAAACCTTGAAGAGCAGTTCTGTTCTTCTCTGTAGGGTTACCCTGAGTGGAAATGGACTCAGTGGGTTTGGGTCAAACAATTGGGGCAAGGTGCTTTGTGGAAGATTCCAGGTTTCCCTTGTGAGTTTAGGAACTAGGTGCAGAGTCCTGAAAGCACTTTGGCACCAAGCTTGTGTGGGTACGTGTTTCAGGAAATAGGTTGGGTTTTTTTCAGGTGTGTAGTCTGTAGGCTGGCCCTGAGATGGCCCTCTTCAGAGCGGGACCCCAGGCTGAGTCACCTTTGTCTGGCTGCCTGTAGTTCTGAGACTGCTCCGCCAGGTGGCACACCACAATGTTGATCCAATAACCCCACCTTTCCCTGGGCCAGACCAACAAGCTCCGCAGTGGCTCAGGGGTCAGGAATGTGTCTGGGGACATTGCTAGACTGCTTAAAGCCATTTATGGGCACAAAGGGGCCTGGCAGTGCCCCAGGCTGTGAATACAGACCCTGGCAGGGGAGGGGGCTGGGAAAGGCAAATTGGAAAGCATCCAGTGGAACCAGACCTAGACTTGAGGCCTCCTGGGCCTGGGAGTTTGACACCCCAGGCCTGGGGTCCTGGCTCAAACCCTGGCTTGGAACCTCAGTCACATCATCTACCAAACGGAGGTGACAAAGCCTCACTGGCAAGGATGGCATTACGGGTGAAAAACAACAAAATGTGTACCCCCGGCTTAGGGCCATTTGGTGACGAGCTGGTACAATACATTGTAATCGCGCTGAATTTGAAGTTTATTTGCATTGTTTCTTATAAGGAATGAGCTGACAGTGTACTCCAAGAAATGAGGGGCTCAGGCAGGATTGGGCAGAATGGATACAACAAAGGGGTGCCTATCCCTGGCTCCTGACCTCCAAACTGAGGGAGTCACTCT